TTTCCAAGCTTCTGAAGATCTGAGCATATTTTGCCCTGTAGCATTTCTACATCAGCTTTTGTTGGCATGTTTTCTTTAATTTCTTCAACTTTATTTTTCATAACTTCAAAACCTTTTTTTAATTCGTTTACATTCTTTTTAGTTTCCTCAGCGACATTGATTAACTGTTTTTCTTTTTCATACCAGTTTTTCAATATTTCAATATGGTTTGTCTCAACAGGACTGAGAGGAGCTTTCTTTGCTTTGTCTATTTCAGTTTGTTGAATACCCAAACCTATCAATGCTTTTGAAATTTCCTGCCACAAATACTCAAACTCACTGTCATCTAGACTAATTGTAGTTATGTGACCGTACACTTTGTTTCGATAAAACTTTATTCTTGCAATATTATCTGAGATTGAAGTATCTGAAGAGGAAGGAAGATTATTCCATCCACCATGTGGCGCTGTTAGACCACAAATGTTACGCAATAAGACAGTCAATAATGTGATGTCAAAGTTTTCAAGGTTTGGCAAACCAGTTGATGGGTAAAGAAGGTTCCACTGCTCTTTGTTGATGACGCTTTTTTTTCTTAATGATTCCAATGTACTTTTATTTGAGGGTTTATTAAGTTCATCGCTTAGGTTTGACGAACGAAAATTTATATTAAACTGCAATGTTGTTTTCAAAGCTTGTGTTCCTTTATTTATTAAGAGTTTACTTAAACGAGATCCATTTGCCTCAATCTTCAATTTATTAGGAGGTGAATCCATTTTTCAAACTAAAAATGAAGAATGAGTTTTTGCAAAAAGCATCAATTTACAATGTGCAAAATTAACACAACATGGAAGGGATTAATAAAAAACAATATTACAAGAAATTTTATAAATAGTCCTTCTCTTTTATATCTTTCGTATAAAAAATTGAAATAATTACGATGACATCAACAATTTATTTTTGGAAATAATCTTGTTATGACAAACATGATATTCCTTCAATCACTTCAACCTACACACTTGTTTCACTTATTTGAAAGTTTGCAAAAACTACTAAAAATATTCTGGAACTGTATTTAAGAATTGTGACGTTTTTCAATCATTTTTTCACAGTATTATTTTAAGACTATTTGTGGTTGTTACCAGTGGCGTAGCAAAGAAAAATAGTAACCCCCGCCCACCATCTCGTGCCAAAGATGCGACCCCCACTATGCTCCCCCGGAAAATTTTGAACTCCATAGCTTTGGGAACAGCATTTCCTGCGCTTTGGAAGGCGAATTACTTGTTGTCAAATAAGTTACAAAAACTACTTTTTATTAGCTGAATTCTTAATGTGTCAATCGTCGAAACTGCAACTAGTTAAAAAGGTACTAAAGGTGGCTCAGAGAAACGTTACGCAGGAGACAATTGTCCCCTAAAACATAATGAATCAAACTCATCACTGTCCCTTGAATAAAAAGAAGAAATTTGGATTACCACAAAAAAATAACATAGTATACGACACTTCCTAAAATGCATAGGGAGAGATTGTTCTTAGCATTCCACTATTTAGTTTACACTTGTTTAGATTGGGGCAGGTAGACAGGAATGGCTTTATTCTTTAGAGTTATGCTTAATTTTCTCAGTGAAGTACCTTAATATACCCATCATTTATAAAGAAAAGCCAGCCTCCTGGGTTTTTCTACAAATTTTTCAACTACCTCATTATGCAACACCTCTGAATCCTCTTTTTGTTCAACGATATCTTTGTGAATAGACATTCTACACAAAGAGCTAAGCCGACCTTAACCCATTCTATTCCTCAAATAGCTTTTCACCCTTTTCAAGCAAGAAAACGACCTCTATACTGAAGCACTTGACACTGCCAAGACACCATTCAATTTTAACAAATTTACCATTTGACGTTAACTCGACTGGAGATTAAAATTGTGTATGTATTTAAGCACCTCATTACTGCACTCTTTCTGAAAGTCCTTGTCGTTGTAAATGAAGGAAAGTTGACTATCAAAAGTTGGGATGTCAGAAAGAGGACTATATTTATCTTTAAGAAGATTGAACTTATCCCGTGGAACTATGCCCTTCCATGTGGAAAATAGTATAGGATTTACAAGATCTATAAACTCGAAATGGTTCACTTAACATGCCTTTAATGGAATCAATAATCTCAAAATAAAGCTGTTTATATCCACAAATCCTAATTGCCTCTCAATAATTTACTTGCTTTGTCAAACCGAGCAATAACACTTAGCTGCTCTTTGGTGGACACATCAGATGATTCATCAACCTGAATACTCATAAACGTGCAATCATTTATTTCCTTTCTGATTTCATCTTCAATAATTGCATCAAGACAGCTCATAAGATCATTTTGAAATTCTAGGGAGACTCCAGTAAATCTTCTGTCACTAACTATATCAGCTTCTGCTAGTCTACTGTGCAGTCAACGCTCAAAGGTAGAATCAAACTTAGCAAAACATTCGAGCAACTCTCTATGCTTAACTTTGTTCAAGCTACCTTCGGACTCATCGTGACCTCTAAATGGCAACTCTTGCTTTGAAAAATGCTGCACTTTCTCAGTAACAGTTTTTAAAATTTCTCGATTTTGTCTTAACTTGTCATTGTGACGCTTAATCTCGCTTCTTCTCGCAAGAGACATAAGACAATCAATTCGTTCACTAGCTCCATACGTTTTCCATGTCTTAAAAGAAGTCAAATGAGATTTAGATGTTCTCATGCTTCTTAGCATCAGACATAATACTTCGCACATCGTTGTAGCCATTCTTAGTCCATGTCGGCGATGTTTGCAGGGAAAACATTAGACATGGCCAACGAAACACTTTCTGTAAGGTTGTACAGTCACACAGCCAGTCCTTCGCCTCTTCTCTAAAATGCTCGTCCCTTATTTTGGATAGTTAAATCAGGAGTAGGCCGTTCATGAACGATAACATTCTGTTCGACCAAAGATCGAGCAGAGAACGGTTTAGCTAATAAGCTATTTACTAAATCAACATCAATTGAGCAAATCGCAGTTGCACTTGAAGCCATTGTGTCATACACAAATACAAAGTAGCATTTTCAGAGCAAGGACAATAGAAAATTAATACCGACAATGATCTCGTAATTTGATAATCATTAACCGCTGTACTCGTATTAAAAGGTTGAATAATTACAATCTCCGCCAATTTAAAAAAGCGGGAGTTCGACTATAAAAACAGCAGATTTGAGCATGCGCCAAGTGCCAGAATTCAAAACTTCTCATATACAATTGTATTGTATGTTTCGCCCTCTGAAGATAGGCGGAATACGTGGAGAAATCGCGCCAGTATGCATTGAAATGGGCGAGGAAAGGCGGTTGCTAGGTTACAAGACAAATCTTGAGATTTTTCGGAATTACGATTACGAGCCACCGGATAAAAGCGTGAAAATGAACGAATAAAACATATTAATACAAATTGTTTGTAAAATAATGTATATCTAATCTCCAAATAGAATATTTATTATTTATTGGGAAATTTCTACTCGCTGGGTGGAAGTAGCGGGACCGCTAGCTACACCACTGGTTGTTACGACCGTCAATTTTCCGACAAATGTATCTAATGTATGTTTGATATTTGAACTGTAAATGTTTTAAACAACGTAAATAGTTATTTCTTCTGTCTTTTGATCATGGTTTCATAAAGAATCATTTATTTTTAAATATATATGAGATATTAATTCATTTAAAGAAACTCAAAAAATATCATTCATTTGCTTTCTCCAAAGATTCACCAGAGTAAACGAAACCATTTGTCAAATATTTTGATTTTCCTCATTTTAACAATTGTTAATGAAACTTAGAAATAATTTCAAGAGAAAACGAAACGGTTTTTGTAACTTTAAAATTTCGGCGTAATTGTTCGGCAACAAAAGAAGCGTCTTGAACGTTATTATACATCTTACTAGTTTAAGTTTGCTAGAAGGTGGTCATTAGACAAAATTTTGGGGGCAAAAATAATAATTGAAGATGAAATACTAACTTTATATCTTTGCTTTACATCTGTACGTTGTCGTGTTAACTAAACTTTAAATATATTCGAAAAGAAAACAATCTTATATCATGACGTGGCAAGTATCAAGCTCATCACTGATTTAAAGTTATTTATTAACCAATCTTTCATTTACGTACGAACCTCAATTTTTATAGTGGACGATTTTTAATAAAAAATAAAACATATCTTTTAGTCATGGTATTGAACTTAATATGTAGTTTTGGAATGGATATAAACATTGGTTTGTTATGCAGTTTTAGTCATACCTTATCTAAATATTTCAGAAGCAAGATTGTTATATCAGTAATGCAGTTAAAAAAATTACCTTCATTTTAGAAATACGACTTCATATACGACGACCTTGTGGACAAAATTATGCCTGCTTTAGTTCTTTACATGTCACATATCTAACAAAGATGAAAGATTTAATATAACGAACGCGACCACATACATAACAGTTAAAAATGATGATCATAATTCATACCTTATTGTAACATCAATTTTTTATCCATGTAAGTTTTGTTACATAAACACTTTTAAATAGCGAACGAAGATGAAGAGTGAGTCAGGATCGCCTTCAAAAAACAGTATTATAAAACATTAATGACATCTATGTAGAACATTCTAGTGATATAACCAAGTATACATCACTGACTAAAAACAATTGTTATAGAAATAAAAATACATAAACAAGAACCTTGTCGAGGAATGCGCTCCTCAGCTGGTTCACTAACACTTTTCGTTTTGAACCTTTTATTTTACAAGCTAAACAAGCTACAAGTACACCACTGGAGTATTTTTACACTATCTATTAGAGTTAATTATTTACATGTATTTATACTAACGGTAATTACAACAAAACATAAGTCGAGCTTTCCTTTTAAGTCATTAGCAGTACTCACTCTTTCATTGCGTTTCAAGTTCTCACGCGTTGCAACAAAAAAGAACTAACTAAACAAACAAAGAACTTACAAAACGTACTTAAAACATAAAAATGTTAAAGTGAAACTAACATAGTTACGACAATTTTATTGCTAAGTTCAAAAGAATGCAATATCCCACACACACCCCTCCTTGAACACTTATGGTTCAAGCATTGCTGAGGTTTTCTACTTAGAGAGTTCAACGCTGCGGCTCGACGAAATACTCGTGGCCTTGCTTCCTCGCCAACCTGACTAGATTCACCTTTACAAGCCTTATTTTTACGTGTCTCAACCTCATTCAAACATTCTTCACTTATTTCCAAGGGATGCAGCTTTTGCAGTGGCCTGTTTAAAGCCCTTGATCGTCCCTTCTCAACCATTCTAACAGTTGCACCCCGAACGACCCCATCCTTACCCTTAACCAACCTCTCCATAACAACTAACTTCCAAAAGCCACGCTTTAATCCTTCATCATAAACTAACACAACGTCTCCAACCTTTGCAATTGAACCTTTCACCTTACCCTTTCCTTTGTGAATCTCTCTTAAATTCGTTAAATATTCTCTTCTCCATCGATACCAAAAATGATTTCTCAACTTAATCATAAATCTGTAAGGTTTACGAAGGCTCTTAGCCTCATCTGTATCTTTATCCATTGTACATATTACATCGTCAGATAAAGAATCTAATCTATACCCAAATATCAAGTGTGAGGGTGTCAATACTTCTCCGTCGGTCTCGTCGTAGTCATAAGTCAACGGTCGTGAGTTAACAATTCCTTCAATTTCAATCAAATTTGTGAGAAGTTCGTCGTAAGTCAATTTTGCTTGTCTTAAACTTTCCTCAACGCTCGCTTTACTGTCCCTACCATTCGCTCAAAAAACCCACCCCACCAATGGGATTTTTTAAGATTGAAGATCCATTCTACGTGGCTTTGTGCTAAGTACCCATGCTCTTCTTCATTGTTACGTAAATCCTTAAGTAACCTAGCTTTGAATGTTTTCGCGTTGTCCGAAACTATCAAACCTGGACGTCCTCTACGAGAAATAAATCTGCGTAAACACTTGATGAAGGTGTTCGTTGACAAATCTTGTACTAGATCTAAATGTACAGCCCTAGTGACACAGCAAGTCCAAAGCGCAATGTAAACTTTCCATGTTTCTTTCTTTTCCTTAACGTACAACGGTCCTGCAAAATCTACTCCAACATTTCCGAACGGAACTGCCTGGCGTACTAGAAATTCTGGTAAACTTGCTACTTCTGGACTAGGAAACGCTTTCTCTTCATGTCTACTACACTTCAAGCACTTTCCTATTATACTCTTTACGACCTGTCGACCCTTTGTTATCCAAAACCGCCTTCTAACCTGAGCCAAAGTTACTCTAAGCCCACTATGTAGAACTCTCTTATGAAAACCTTAACGATCAGAGTGGTGAGTGGATGTGCTCTAGGCAATGCTACTGACTCTCTACCTTCTAAATCTAAGTCGGCGTTTTTCAACCTTCCCTGACATCTCAACAAATCATCCTTTTCTACAACTTCAAGTTCACGTGCTAATTGGTCGTAATTTCCCTGCAGACGAAGCTCATTCTGTGCTGTCTTCAACCACACCCTTTCTGCCTCTCTTATCTCGAAAGCTTTTACAGTTCCTTTCCTCATCGCACTCATATCTTTGCCGGCACGCAAATTGTTAATAAAACGTAGAATATATGCAGTTACTCTGAGCAACTTGCCAAGATTTGCAAAACGCTCTATATTTAAAAAATTTGTAATGCTACATGCATTTCGTGTCACTTGGGTTACCATTACTGCCTTTCTTATGTCTTGGCACGATTCTGATGTCTCTTTGATCATGCAGTTAGCTAGCCAAAAACCTTCCGAACTTGATAACCATGGGGGACCCTTCCACCACAAAGTGCTTCCCTTAAGCAAAGACGCGCTGCAATCCCGCTATCCTATATCGGCTGGATTTTGTTCCCCTGGGCAATGTTCCCAGCTTGGCTTGTCGCTCAATTTCAAAATCTCATTAACGCGATGTCTGACAAATTGTTTCCATTCACCTTTATTTTCAATCCAACATAACACAGTCTTACTATCTACCCAAAATCTACATCCAGGGGCCGCGGAAGTATCTCAAAAGTGGGGGGGCACTGACCGAAAAGGGCATGTGAGTTTGCAGCTTACTGTTTTAGTATATTACAGATATGCATTGCTTCATGAATCATGATTAAGTTTCAAAGTCTGCGAAATATTGGTAGACATTCTTAGAATGCTATGCGTATTCTCTACTATTAAAATTTCCCAAAAAATCTAACCCTACGTTCGTTTTTGAGAACAAAGTCCTTAGCTATTAAACGTCCTTAGCTATTAAACGTCGCTGAATTGTCCTAGGAGAAAAGCCTTTTCACCATTATGACTGAAAGTAACAAAGTCTTGACGCATCGCTCTTTTACAGAACAGGCAATGGTGCCTTTTGTCATGCAGTATGTGACACATGTATATTTCAAAAATTCAAAAATATGGAAGACGGACAAGTTCGTACATTCGACGATCCTGCTGTACTGGGCTTATTTCTAGGCGAGTGCTTTATTTCTTCTAGGGTAGGATGGTAAGGCTGTCGGCCTGTACAGCACAAACGCGTACAATCGAGTCCTAGCAAACATTCCGTTGACTCAATTTGCATAGGTCCTACCAATAGGGCGGTAGTCGTGGAACTTGGCAAAAACGCATACGTTAGGTTTTGAGAAGGTGTGTGAACTGGTTCGGTCGGCGGCGCGACTAGTATCTCTGAAGACGATGTAGAGTCAGATTCGTGAGAATGAGGAGATAAACACGTTGATGGAGTTTCTGTAGCTGACGGCAGTGTCAAATTAGACCTAGAGTCGATGTTTTGGTCAACAACGTTCTCTGCTGGAGCACTACTAAAAAATCTCGTCAGTTTTCGCATCCTTTTAGCTGTTTCTACAAGCTCTTTTTCCTTTTCTCGTTTTCGCCTAGCAGTTCTAGGCATAATGATTTCGATTAGAAGTGATTTAAACCGCAAAAGTTTCAATTATTATGATTGATGAATTGTCAACAGTTTTGTAGGACCAATGGCCTGAAAGACAATACGACGGGAGCAATGCGTTGCCGTAGAATTTATAGTCTCATGTGGATCATAAATTGCGACTTCTCATTGGTTAAGTTACTGGGCGGACGCCTGCGAAGACAACCCCAATCGACAAACGCGATTTTTGATCCATCTGGGTAATCAAAATCAAAAACTAAGCTATAGCTGATTTCGCATGATGCCGACAGACTTTGTTCTACTCTCGGGGCTACTTGTATCTAAGAAAAACTTTATCAGTCCAATTTTACCTAAAACAAGGGCATTTCTATACCATGAAAAAGGGCACTTTCACTCCAGAAAAAGGGCACATTTTCCCCTGTTGCAAAAGGGGGGGCACTTGCAATGCCCTCCCGGTTCCGCGGCCTCTGTCTACATCTCAAGTTATGAACGTCTGATCCTAGTGCAATCAAAACAGTAGACATTAGTCTTGGATCAAGGCTGACATAAGTTCTAGACGAGGAATCGTCTGTGCCTTCATTGGAGCAACTCTAGTCTTCGATATAGGCACCATTTAATTCAAAGACAGTAAATTACAGCACAATAAGCTTTAACACTAGCATCAGAAAATCCATGCAACATACATTTCATTGGCTTATCTATTTTTCCATATATACATCTGTTAACAACAATCTCTTGTATTATGTTCAAGTCATTTATCCATGCATTCCTTATATTACACATATTGCTGTTAATAACACTAACCCAGTCTAACCCTTCCTTACAAATATCCTTGATAAAAATTTTGATTGTTACCACAATTGGACTAACTATTCCTAATGGATCGTAAAGAGTAGCTAAAATACTTAAGATGATACGCCAAGTCGGCTTGAACCCCACTACCTTTGATGCAATTTGGCGTATTTCAAAATGAAAAGTATCATAATGAAAATTCCATGGAAGGCCTAGAATCCTTTCAAATTTCGTCTTATTGTTAGCTCCAAAAGTGCTTTTCGCAAAAGAGTCTTCTTCGGCTTGTGAAAGAGAATTTATAACAGACTCACCCTCTTCCCGTGAGATCATTTTACGAACTTTATAACAGACTCACCCTCTTCCCGTGAGATCATTTTACGAACTTTATAACACACTCACCCTCTTCCCATGAGATCATTTTACGAACTTTATAACAGACTCACCCTCTTCCCGTGAGATCATTTTACGAACTTTATAACAGACTCATCCTCTTCCCGTGAGATCATTTTACGAACTTTATAACAGACTCACCCTCTTCCCGTGAGATCATTTTACGAACTTTATAACAGACTCATCCTCTTCCCGTGAGATCATTTTACGAACTTTATAACAGACTCACCCTCTTCCCGTGAGATCATTTTACGAACTTTATAACAGACTCACCCTCTTCCCGTGAGATCATTTTACGAACTTTATAACAGACTCATCCTCTTCCCGTGAGATCATTTTACGAACTTTATAACACACTCACCCTCTTCCCGTGAGATCATTTTACGAACTTTATAACAGACTCATCCTCTTCCTGTGCGATCATTTTACGAACTTTATAACAGACTCACCTTCTTCCCGTGCGATCATTTTACGAACTTTATAACACACTCACCCTCTTCCCGTGCGATCATTTTACGAACTTTATAACAGACTCACCCTCTTCCCGTGAGATCATTTTACGAACTTTATAACAGACTCACCCTCTTCCCAAAAGATCATTTTACGAACTTTATAACAGACTCACCTCTTCCCGTGAGATCATTTTACGAACTTTATAACAGACTCACCTCTTCCCTTTGAGATCATTTTACGAACTTTATAACAGACTCACCCTCTTCCCGTGAGATCATTTTACGAACTTTATAACAGACTCATCCTATTTCCCTTGCGATCATTTTACGAACTTTATAACACACTCACCCTCTTCCTGTGATCATTTTACGAACTTTATAACAGACTCAATTCTCTTCCCGTGCGATCATTTTACGAACTTTATAACACACTCACCCTCTTCCCTTAGATCATTTTACGAACTTTATAACAGACTCACCTCTTCCGTGACATCATTTTACGAACTTTATAACAGACTCACCTCTTCCCGTGAGATCATTTTACGAACTTTATAACAGACTCACCCTCTTCCCGTGAGATCATTTTACGAACTTTATAACAGACTCACCCTTCCCGTGAGATCATTTTACGAACTTTATAACAGAATCACCCTCTTCCGCGATCATTTTACGAACTTTATAACACATTACCCTCTTCCCTTTGCGATCATTTTACGAACTTTATAACACACTCACCCTCTTCCCTTGCGATCATTTTACGAACTTTATAACACTCACCCTCTTCCCAAGCGATCATTTTACGAACTTTATAACACACTCATCCTCTTCCCCGATCATTTTCACGAACTTTATAACACACTCACCCTTCCTTTGATCATTTTACGAACTTTATAACAGACTCACCCTCTTCCCGTGAGATCATTTTACGAACTCTTATAACAGACTCACCTCTTCCCATGCGATCATTTTACGAACTTTATAACACACTCACCCTCTTCCCAAGTGATCATTTATGAACTTTATAACACACTCACCCTCTTCCCGTGTGATCATTTTACGAACTTTATAACACTCACCCTCTTCCCGTGCGATCATTTTATGAAATTTATAACACACTCACCCTCTTTCCCAAAAGATCATTTTACGAACTTTATAACAGACTCATCCTCTCCCGTGAGATCATTTTACGAATTCTTTATAACAGACTCACCTCTTCCTCAGCGATCATTTTACGAACTTATAACACACTCATCCTCTTCCCGTGAGATCATTTTACGAACTTTATAACAGACTCATCCTCTTCCCAAAGATCATTTTACGAACTTTATAACAGACTATCCTCCTCCCAAAGGATCATTTTACGAACTTTATAACAGACTCACCCTCTTCCCCAAGGATCATTTTACGAACTTTATAACAGACTCACCCTCTTCCAGTGCGATCATTTTACGAACTTTATAACACACTCACCCTCTTCCCTTGCGATCATTTTACGAACTTTACAACAGACTCATCCTCTTCCCGTGCGATCATTTTACGAACTTTATAACAGACTCATCCTCTCCTCCCGTGCGATCATTTTACGAACTTTATAACAGACTCACCCTCTTCCCGTGCGATCATTTTACGAACTTTATAACAGACTCACCCTCTTCCCGTGCGATCATTTTACGAACTTTATAACAGACTCACCCTCTTCCCGTGAGATCATTTTACGAACTTTATAACAGACTCACCTCTTCCCGTGCGATCATTTTACGAACTTTATAACAGACTCACCCTCTTCCCGTGAGATCATTTTACGAACTTTATAACAGACTCACCCTCTTCCCGTGAGATCATTTTACGAACTTTATAACAGACTCACCCTCTTCCCGTGCGATCATTTTACGAACTTTATAACAGACTCATCCTCTTCCCGTGAGATCATTTTACGAACTTTATAACAGACTCACCCTCTTCCCGTGCGATCATTTTACGAACTTTATAACAGACTCACCCTCTTCCCGTGCGATCATTTTACGAACTTTATAACAGACTCATCCTCTTCCCGTGCGATCATTTTACGAACTTTATAACACACTCACCCTCTTCCCGTGCGATCATTTTACGAACTTTATAACAGACTCACCCTCTTCCCGTGAGATCATTTTACGAACTTTATAACAGACTCACCCTCTTCCCGTGCGATCATTTTACGAACTTTATAACAGACTCACCCTCTTCCAGTGCGATCATTTTACGAACTTTATAACACACTCACCCTCTTCCCTTGCGATCATTTTACGAACTTTATAACAGACTCACCCTCTTCCCGTGAGATCATTTTACGAACTTTATAACAGACTCACCCTCTTCCCGTGAGATCATTTTACGAACTTTATAACAGACTCACCCTCTTCCCGTGAGATCATTTTACGAACTTTATAACAGACTCACCCTCTTCCCGTGAGATCATTTTACGAACTTTATAACAGACTCACCCTCTTCCCGTGCGATCATTTTACGAACTTTATAACAGACTCACCTCTTCCAGTGCGATCATTTTACGAACTTTATAACAGACTCACCCTCTTCCCGTGCGATCATTTTACGAACTTTATAACAGACTCATCCTCTTCCCGTGCGATCATTTTACGAACTTTATAACAGACTCACCCTCTTCCCGTGCGATCATTTTACGAACTTTATAACAGACTCACCTCTTCCCGTGAGATCATTTTACGAACTTTATAACAGACTCATCCTCTTCCCGTGCGATCATTTTACGAACTTTATAACAGACTCACCCTCTTCCCGTGAGATCATTTTACGAACTTTATAACAGACTCACCCTCTTCCCGTGGATCATTTTACGAACTTTATAACAGACTCATCCTCTTCCCGTGAGATCATTTTACGAACTTTATAACAGACTCATCCTCTTCCCGTGCGATCATTTTACGAACTTTATAACAGACTCACCCTCTTCCCGTGCGATCATTTTACGAACTTTATAACAGACTCACCCTTCCCGATCATTTTACGAACTTTATAACAGACTCATCCTCTTCCCGTGCGATCATTTTACGAACTTTATAACAGACTCACCTCTTCCCGTGAGATCATTTTACGAACTTTATAACAGACTCACCTCTTCCCGTGAGATCATTTTACGAACTTTATAACAGACTCATCCTCTTCCGTGGATCATTTTACGAACTTTATAACAGACTCATCCTCTTCCCGTGAGATCATTTTACGAACTTTATAACAGACTCATCCTCTTCCCGTGCGATCATTTTACGAACTTTATAACACACTCACCCTCTTCCCGTGCGATCATTTTACGAACTTTATAACACACTCACCCTCTTCCCGTGAGATCATTTTACGAACTTTATAACAGACTCACCTCTTCCCGTGAGATCATTTTACGAACTTTATAACAGACTCATCCTCTTCCCGTGCGATCATTTTACGAACTTTATAACAGACTCATCCTCTTCCCGTGAGATCATTTTACGAACTTTATAACAGACTCATCCTCTTCCCGTGCGATCATTTTACGAACTTTATAACACACTCACCCTCTTCCCGTGAGATTATTTTACGAACTTTATAACACTCACCCTCTTCCCGTGAGATCATTTTACGAACTTTATAACAGACTCACCCTCTTCCCGTGAGATCATTTTACGAACTTTATAACAGACTCATCCTCTTCCAAAAGCGATCATTTTTACGAACTTTATAACAGACTCACCCTCTTCCCGTGCGATCATTTTACGAACTTTATAACATACTCACCTCTTCCCGTGCGATCATTTTACGAACTTTATAACAGACTCATCCTCTTCCCGTGCGATCATTTTACGAACTTTATAACATACTCACCCTCTTCCCGTGCGATCATTTTACGAACTTTATAACAGACTCATCCGCTTCCCGTGCGATTATTTTACGAACTTTATAACACACTCACCCTCTTCCCGTGAGATCATTTTACGAACTTTATAACAGACTCACCCTCTTCCGTGCGATCATTTTACGAACTTTATAACAGACTCACCCTCTTCCCGTGAGATCATTTACGAACTTTATAACAGACTCATCCTCTTCCCGTGGATCATTTTACGAACTTTATAACAGACTCATCCTCTTCCCGTGCGATCATTTTACTAACTTTATAACAGACTCACCCTCTTCACGTGCGATTATTTTACGAACTTTATAACAGACTCACCCTCTTCCCGTGCGATCATTTTACGAACTTTATAACAGACTCATCCTCTTCCCGCGATCATTTTACGAACTTTATAACAGACTCACTGTCTTCCCAAAAGCGATCATTTTACGAACTTTATAACAGACTCACCCTCTTCCCGTGAGATCATTTCACGAACTTTATAACAGACTCATCCTCTTCCCGTGAGATCATTTTACGAACTTTATAACAGACTCACCCTCTTCCCAAAGGATCATTTTACGAACTTTATAACAGACTCAATCTCTTCCCGTGAGATCATTTTACGAACTTTATAACAGACTCACCCTCTTCCGTGCGATCATTTCGAACTTTATAACATACTCATCCTCTTCCCGTGCGATCATTTTACGAACTTTATAACAGACTCACCCTCTTCCCGTGAGATCATTTTACGAACTTTATAACAGACTCACCCTCTTCCCGTGAGATCATTTCACGAACTTTATAACATACTCATCCTCCTCCCGTGAGATCATTTCACGAACTTTATAACAGACTCATCCTCTTCCCGTGAGATCATTTTACGAACTTTATAACTCACCCTCTTCCCGTGCGATCATTTTACGAACTTTATAACAGACTCACCCTCTTCCCGTGAGATCATTTTACGAACTTTATAACACACTCACCCTCCTCCCGTGAGATCATTTTACGAACTTTATAACAGACTCATCCTCTTCCCGTGAGATCATTTTACGAACTTTATAAAAGACTCACCTCTTCCCGTGCGATCATTTTACGAACTTTATAACAGACTCACCTCTTCCCGTGAGATCATTTTACGAACTTTATAACATACTCACCCTCTTCCCGTGCGATCATTTCACGAACTTTATAACAGACTCATCCTCTTCCCGTGCGATCATTTTACTAACTTTATAACAGACTCATCCTCTTCCCGTGCGATCATTTTACGAACTTTATAACAGACTCATCCTCTTCCCGTGCGATCATTTTACGAACTTTATAACAGACTCACCCTCTTCCAGTGCGATCATTTTACGAACTTTATAACAGACTCACCCTCTTCCCGTGAGATCATTTTACGAACTTTATAACAGACTCATCCTCTTCCCGTGCGATCATTTTACGAACTTTATAACAGACTCACCCTCTTCCCGTGCGATCATTTTACGAACTTTATAACAGACTCACCCTCTTCCCGTGCGATCATTTTACTAACTTTATAACAGACTCATCCTCTTCCCGTGCGATCATTTTACGAACTTTATAACAGACTCACCCTCTTCCCGTGCGATCATTTTACGAACTTTATAACAGACTCACCCTCTTCCGTGCGATCATTTTACGAACTTTATAACAGACTCATCCTCTTCCCGTGCGATCATTTTACGAACTTTATAACAGACTCATCCTCTTCCCGTGCGATCATTTTACGAACTTTATAACAGACTCATCCTCTTCCCGTGCGATCATTTTACGAACTTTATAACAGACTCATCCTCTTCCCGTGCGATCATTTTACGAACTTTATAACAGACTCATCCTCTTCCCGTGCGATCATTTTACGAACTTTATAACACACTCATCCTCTTCCCGTGCGATCATTTTACGAACTTTATAACAGACTCACCCTCTTCCCGTGCGATCATTTTACGAACTTTATAACAGACTCACCCTCTTCCCGTGCGATCATTTTACGAACTTTATAACAGACTCACCCTCTTCCCGTGCGATCATTTCACGAACTTTATAACAGACTCATCCTCTTCCCGTGCGATCATTTTACGAACTTTATAACAGACTCATCCTCTTCCCGTGCGATCATTTTACGAACTTTATAACAGACTCACCCTCTTCCCGTGCGATCATTTTACGAACTTTATAACAGACTCATCCTCTTCCCGTGCGATCATTTTACGAACTTTATAACAGACTCATCCTCTTCCCGTGCGATCATTTTACGAACTTTCACGCTATTACTCAACCATTTTCGCAACCAAAATCCTCCATTCAACAACACTTTTTTCGATCATTCAAAGACGCACTATTCTTACTCTCCTTGCAAGATGCATTGTACACCACTCTAACCTTGGTACTTTTTGCTTCTTTTCTGACAACTGCGTGGTGTGGTAAATAATGTACTCTCTCTGGTTTCTCTATTCCAAAGCCATCATCAGAGTATAAATATAATATATTAATCCTAACACGGTTTTTAATATGCACATGAAAAAACAATAGGATTAATATATTATATTTATACTATGATGATGGCTTTGGAATAAAGTCGAAACACGCTGCCGAGAAATATGGTGAGAATCTCTCGTCCATACGCAGTTTTAAGAGATTTGACTCGTCTCCAATCTCTGTGGGCTTGGTAGCTCAACAGGTAGAGCGGCGGACTCGAAGGTGCGAGTTCAAATCTCGTCTAAGTCACATGTTTTTCATAAACATATTAAAAACTGTGTTAGGATTAATATATTATATTTATACTCTGGTTCTCTAATTCAACCACTTTCTCTATTATTCCGGATTCTAAATGCTCTCTTTGATTATCTTATCATATTCGTTTAAGGTGTTTGAGTCTTGTCTCAGTTTTGTCAATTGTTTTCATAACGTTTCACACTGACGTTTTTGTTTGAGGGCAAGGGATTGTGGTGATATAGTCAGACAATAGTTGGTACTACTTGAGTCAGTCATTTTCAAACGAATAAAAGGATCATTAAAAAAATACATAAATTATATTGAATTCTTTGTGGCTTTAACCGTTTTGTGCTCATAAAAATTGGAAAAAGTGAAAAACAGCAAAAGAAATGTGCAACAGACAGTTTTTCTGGCCAAGTGACCTGGCTTGTCGTAATATTTATCAATTTATCAATAATAATATGGACGATGTAAAACTTATCAGTATAAAATAGTATACGGGAAGAAATTTTCATAATAATCAAAACAAGTGAAGTATCTTTCTCTTTCTGTAAGCACGAACATTACTAAAGAAGTAAGAGCATGGTAAAATGGGAACTATTTACGTTAAATTACGCACATGCATTTGTCATGGGAAGTTTAAAGCATTGAGTTGCTGAGGAAGACTTTCTTTCCAATCGTCGCAAAGAGGAAACTTTGTAATTTTATCTTGTTGAATGTTTAGTATATATAGAGGCTGCAAACGCTGTTTCTGGTTGTTTCAATATGCATTTTGATGGTCGCATTTTATCGACGCATTTGATTAATGCATTGTAACGCATTGAGTTGAAGTCTTAAAAAGACGAATTGGATAAGCATTTTTTGATTTTAATGCTCGTGGTAATGAACCAACGTTTGTCTCAAAAGAATCGTGATTTAGCATCCCGCACAACAGAAAGCTTAGGTTGTGCGACAATGGCACTATAAATCTATAATTATCTATCAATGTGGTAATGTATAATTGATGCAAATCGTTCGTGGTTGATTTAAATAATAAAATATAGTCGTTTTGATTGATAAACAGATCATTTGTGTTTATATGATGAAACGCAATTTGATAAACTAAGCATAAATATATATTATCGTATTGTCCAATAGATGTAGCGCTATTCATCTTATAGTTTCGTTTCACGTTGATTTTTCTTTTCTCAGAAGTTAGAATCGTCTTATATACGGCATAATATCATCTGTGTATCTACTGAAAATGTTGATGCACAGTCAATAAATCCAAGTGAACGAGTATTCTGCCATTTAGTCAAACCTTTGATACAATACAACGAGTAGCTAAACAATACGGCTTTAAAATCAATGTTTTACACATTTTTACTCACCAAATATGACCAAAGCGACTATTTCTTCTTTTCCACACTTATTATTTCGTTCCACAACGTAAAGTCACAGTTTTATATTGAAATATTTCTTCAATTTTGTCTTTAATCGTATTGTAATGTACACATCATTGAAATGCATGGGATGGGCTCATCACGAGATCATTCTGATTTACTTCCGCACTTGTAACTGGATACAGCTGAAATGTAGACAACAATCATGTTCATTGCCATATATGGTTCTCACCAGATTTATATTTTTGCAGAGACTTTACCAATAAATTACCGGCGAAGAGATCAGTTGCACGAACGTCGAATAACGCTATCATTATTGAACAGAGTAGCAACGTTTTTGAGCGCTTCAAAAATATCTTTAAAGGGAAAAATCAACGATTCGAACAGGACAATAAATAATATACAATATTGGTTCTAGAATTGCAAAGTTTCATCATCATAAACAAAATATAACCATGCACATTCACAAATTTAAAAAACTACTATCCAATGGATAACGCTATCCACGCTTCGTGCAACAGGCTACAGTATAAATTTAAAAAACTACTATCCAATGGATAACGCTATCTACGCTTCATGCAACAGGCTCCAGTATAAATTTAAAAAACTACTATCCAATGGATAACGCTATCCACGCTTCGTGCAACAGGCTCCAGTATAAATTTAAAAAACTACTATCCAATGGATAACGCTATCTACGCTTCATGCAACAGGCTCCAGTATAAATTTAAAAAACTACTATCCAATGGATAACGCTATCCACGCTTCGTGCAACAGGCTCCAGTATAAATTTAAAAAAGTACTATCCAATGGATAACGCTATCCACGCTTCGTGCAACAGGCTCCAGTATAAATTTAAAAAACTACTATCCAATGGATAACGCTATCCACGCTTCATGCAACAGGCTCCAGTATAAATTTAAAAAACTACTATCCAATGGATAACGCTATCTACGCTTCATGCAACAGGCTCCAGTATAAATTTAAAAAACTACTATCCAATGGATAACGCTATCCACGCTTCATGCAACAGGCTCCAGTATAAATTTAAAAAACTACTATCCAATGGATAACGCTATCCACGCTTCATGCAACAGACTTCAGTATAAATTTAAAAAACTACTATCCAATGGATAACGCTATCCACGCTTCGTGCAACAGGCTCCAGTATAAATTTAAAAAACTACTATCCAATGGATAACGCTATCCACGCTTCATGCAACAGGCTCCAGTATAAATTTAAAAACTACTATCCAATGGATAACGCTATCACGCTTCATGCAACAGGCTCCAGTATAAATTTAAAAAACTACTATCCAATGGATAACGCTATCCACGCTTCGTGCAACAGGCTCCAGTATAAATTTAAAAAACTACTATCCAATGGATAACGCTATCCAGGCTTCATGCAACAGGCTCCAGTATAAATTTAAAAAACTACTATCCAATGGATAACGCTATCCAGGCTTCGTGCAAAAGGCCCCAGTATAAATTTTAAAAAAAAATTGAAAAGAATAAAGGCCAAAAATTGTCCAAATGAAAATGGCGAAACTGTTTTTCCGAAATTCCAGGGTCAAAGATCAAGAGATGTATGATGTAATAGGTACTAAGCACCGATCGGCACAACAGACCTTCAATTTCATATTGTCGTATTGTAAAGAATCTACGAAAATTTGACAAAACTTTTAGTTTCAATACATGATTAACTTCATATATATATATAAAAAATAGCTCCTTCCCTTGAAAGAGACATCGTTCCTGCAAGTTCAATATAGTACGAGAATATTTTTTGTGAACTTTATATTATATCTGGTGTAGGTGACGTAATATTGAAAATAATAAAAAATTAGACAAAAAATGTAAAAAACATATGTCGTTACCCTCGTTAAATTTCTCAAGGATATATAATTCCCTCATTAAATACTTTAACAGTTTGACATTACTTTTATAAATATCTTTATAATTTGTATTTGAACGTTTACATCAGTATTTATACCAGTAAAGCAACTACAAATAGTCTCGATAATTCTGTCAATTAAACGCCTCTCTGGTTCAATGGAGTCAGGTGTATCGCCAACAATATGACCATAAGCAATGAGTTTCTAAGAACAAAGAATATGATATATAGACCGTTTCTAAGAACAAATAATATGAAATATAGAACTTTATATAAGATGAATACATGACCTACATAGATATATGGAGGGATAAAGGATTCTGGTGAAAAGACGCATGGGAACTTGGAGGATTGGATACGAGTAAGTACTGTGGATAGATAAGGATAGCAATAATGACAAATTTTTAGAAGTATGGATCCTCTAGCTTATTCTGGGAGGAATTTAGGAGGAAACTAACAAAAAATGTTCTGTAGCAACTTTATTTTGTGCTATCCAATTGTAATGGCTTAGAGATAACGAAATGACAATGTTTCCGAGATTAAATCTATTTCTTACAACTAAAGACTCCAAGTGTCCTAACACATCAAACAAAAACAACTTACTTGTATACAGTCATGTGCAATGGTAATAATCCTGGCACATTATGTTTGACAAACTTTTTCATTAATTAAATTTATTGCTAACAACTAAAGATGCCAAGTGTCTTTTCTGTATATTACATATTCTGTGCTTCAGCTAAGAACTTTGTCATGCCACCAAGGGGAACTCTGGTATAACAACATTACAACCAAGCAATATATCTCAGTATTACCTACAATGACCGTAATTACAACTGACCTGTAATTCAGCCATAGTATCTTCATCTTCTCGCTTGCTGGTGCTTGGGAAAAGACGACATTGTCGATCAATTGGATAAGTTCCAATTGAACGACACACTTAATGATCAATGAATTGAACAGCATCCTCTCCGTCTGCACAACTAAAATAATGAGATGATTTTACGACGTTAAAGTACATACATGAAAAAATTAAAAATGACACTCGGGTGTTGGTTGAACATTTCCGTATTCACGTTCAGACGATTTTTTCATTTGTCGGTAAAAATCGAACTTTTGAATATGCCAAACAAAGGGCTAATTTATCTTATTAGAAGATTTTCAAACGCATATATCAATTATACGTTTTGCTAAACCTTTCCAATAAACCAAAGTAAATTAAACACGTAAATGGCAGCAGGCTGTGACAACAAATTATTAATCTCAATTGATTACATAGTTACCTGGTTCGTGTTCTTCGACAGGTTCAAATCGTAAACTAAGCGTACTATGTAAACTAATGCTGTCTTGTTCTTTGGTTTCTTCAACTGTTTCTTGAGGCATTTCCTCCTCCGTTTCATTCAAACCTTTTGACGATTGCTGACCATCTTGTTCGTCCTCGTCTGAAAAATAATACGGAAAATTTTTCACTTGTTATTCAAAGAATGCAAGGTGTTGGTCCATACGAGTTAAAGATTCACACGAGCTAAATTGCAATATGCGAACTTTTGCTTCATATGAGCTTTTGGTTCAAATGAGCTTTTTTAATATACGAGCTTTAGCTTACCATGAAATATTTTCCAATCTCATAATCATGGAGACAATTGAAGCAAAAATTTTCCTTTAAAAGAATTCACAAACTTTTTATTTACCTTCCGGATATTTGGGCACGATATCATCCTCCAGGTCGACAGGTGACATTATCTACAATATACGTCAATTTTAAGAGTAATAAATACATAAAACAAACAGAATAGTTATGAAAGTTTGTCTATAATTTTAGAGTGTCGGGCTTTAAAACATCATAAAAAATACTGAGGGGCGGATTAAATGATCCAGGTAGCCGGGATTCAGCCAAGCGTTAAATCATTTTGGCAAATGGAAACAATTCAATACTTATCATCAGATAAATTTTCTCAAGCAATTTCACAATATTCTGATTCAATAACTACGCAAAACATTTAAAATTAAAACAACCAATTTGCCATAATTTCATAATTACAAACCGAATGACGTGTGGCGCTTCGCAAACAGTTGTAATTTTAAAGCTTGACGTTTTGGCTCTTTTCAATCCCTTGAAATCATCGGGGCTAGCTCGCTATCCGGGCCAGATCGCTTCCATATAATGAGGCCCTAAGTGTAACTTACCTTGAGTGGTGATGACGCAGGGGTGACATCAGGTGTGGGTAGACTCATTACTTGTTGGTCAGCGGGTCTCCATTTCAATAGTTCGTGAGGTACGGTTGATTCAAATATCGTCTTTACACATTTACATGTCTTTTCCCAGACGTCTTCGGAGAACGTGTTGCCATTGGATATGACGAGATTTTCCAAACAATTGGTACCAGACCTCGCTAACTGCTCGTTATCTAAAGACATGTATTGAATGAACGAGCAAAGCAGAACATGGTGTTACAAAGCATTTACAGTCGAACATGTAAGAATGTCTGATACTTCTTGTATATTAAAGTACCTCAAACCAAACCAATAACAAACTATCATATTTTAAACCAATCACACACTCTCATACTTAAAACCAATCACAAACCCTGACACAACGAACTAATCACCAAGGCAAATGCCAAGCACAAACACTTTGCGTAATCTCAAGCTTACCTTGTTTGACACACCACTCTAGATGGCCATACATATCATCAAGAAGAATTTCAGCAAGAATATCAAAATACTGAGTAAAAACATCGATGATAGCATGTAGAGCGTGATTACAAGTTGTTGTCATCCATTCTGATTTCTATAAAAAAACATCACAAATTTCAAAACATCCTCAGCTGATGTCTCATTTTATAACGAGGAAATACAACACCTTATACACGGACTTTATTCTTATTTCCTTAACATTACTTCCTCCTGATTTAAAGAAAAAAGCATTCTTACAGGTGGGTAACTTTCACAAACGAGTGTTTCAAACCTTCCATACTGGTACAAATCGTTTACACAAAATTAAATCGGTAAGTGAATAGGGAATGCAAGAGGATAAGAATGGATAGAGAATGAAGTGAATACGAGTAGATATACAGAATGAAGTGACTCTACAATAAAAGTGGATAGAAGTGAATACGAAATAGAGGAGGATATGAGGGGATCATTGAACTAAAATACATGGAAAGCTACATGAAGCAAATAATTGAAGCCAAATCTTACACCCAGACACGCGTGTTTAGTGTTTCGAGATTCTCTCGCGGAGTGAAAATTGATCGAACTACACACGTGTCCGGGTGTAAAATTTAGCTTTAAAAAATTACTACGGTTTTCTATTACAGGTAGCGTTGCATGTATTTTAGTTCAATGGAGTGGATAAACATTTGAAATGGACGAGTGAATGAGGAATGAAGGTGGATAGACATGAACACATAAAATGAATATTATTCCATGTAGAACTGGATAGTCGTGTATGTAAGTTGACTTTTTGCGATATAATGTGTGTTTATGGCAATCATAGATAATAAGACCACAATAACGACATGTTATAAACTACGTGTTTTGAAACATGGTCGATTACGGGAG